ACAATAATGTACATAGTAATTAATTGTAAAATTTTGCTAATTATGTAATGCAAAGAAGAGCTAGAGATTTTTATTTTTTGTAATTTAGCTGTGATAATACATAAGGGAATTGTATTGGTTAGAAAAACACGTTTTTCGGAAATAACCTCGTATTTGCAACAATATTAGATTCGCAATAACAGACAAATTCATCGTCAGTCTGTTTGCGACTTGTAAATTTTCCCTACCAATGGTTGGCGGTTGATAAATTGGTTTTTGAGTTAATTACAATTCGCCACCTCGTGTTCCAATCTACTTTAAAATAATGGTAATATCATTTTTTGGATCAAAATTTTATCTTTACATAATGTATTAAAAGGAAAAGAAAAAAAAAGAAATAAATCCATTCCCTTTATTTACGTTAATAAAAAAATACCACCGAAGAATTTATATACCTTTGTTAGACGACGGTCAATCCCTGGCGATTTTGATTTACCGAATGTTAACCTAACTGGGTTAAGTTTATAGGTTAACATTTGGTTTCTTCAAAAAGACTTGATAAATCGACTAAATATGAAGGAAAAATGCATTTTGAGGGTTAAATGGATGTTTATGGAGTTGATTCTTATCAAAATTACAATGTATAATGTAATAAATAATTATTTATTAAAGATAAAGTTTGGCCTATGAATTCTCATCTAGTATTTAATGGACTTTTTTCAAATTTTACATTAATCATTATAATGTGAACAAAAAAGAGATTAATATTTATAAAGAAATGCAAAGTACATAAATTTCAATTATTATTAGTACTAAATTAGTTAAAAATAATTAATATTTTGTTGAATTTTAATAATGTCTAAAAAGTTGAATGAAACTACCTTACCGACCGCATACGGTAATGCAAAAATTAGAATAGCTTGATTTTAGCTTAGTTTAAAAGTTAATATTAATTATTTTTAATTAATTATTATTAATAATAATTGAAATTGATGTACTTTGCGTTTCTTTATAAATATTAATTTATTTTTGTTCACATTATAACGATTAATGTAAAATTTGAAGAAAGTCCATTAAATACTAGATGAGAATTCATAGGCCAAACTTTATCTTTAATAAATAATTATTTATTACACAACAAAGGTATATAAATTCTTCGGTGCTATCTTTTTATTAACGTAAATAAAGGGAATGGATTTATTTCTTTTTTTTTCTTTTCCTTTTAATACATTATGTAAAAATAAAAATTCGATCCAAAAAATAAAATAAACAAAAAAAAATGATATCACCATTATTTTAAAGAAGATTGGAACACTATTTTATTTTGGACATGATTTAGAATAAATTTTACTAAAAGTATGTAAGTTTTTAATTCTAAATAACGAAAAGCGCTACATTGCGATTAACGCTATTCGTAATCCCACTTCAAGAATACAAATTATAGAATTTCTTTGCAAAAGAGATATAATAAAAAATGTACTTGATGGAACATGGCGTAATTGGTTATATTCAGTTCTGTTCCAAAGGTTATAACTCATGCCGAACATTTTATATTTGTTTTGAAAAGTCACAAATCTCTATCAGATCGATTCGTCTTCTCGACATTCTTAAATAAACGATACTCATATCCGATTAAATGTACCAGAAAGTATTTCCTACGATGACTTCTAATGTCAAACAATCAGCTTCATAAAGATGAAATTCACAAAGAATAAAAGACAAAGGTATCAATCTAATTACAAAAGATTTAACAAAGTTGTTAATCCAATATTTTGCCACTTCGGAGAAGATTTACAATATTAAATAATAAAAATTATTAAATTATGCTAGCTAACTTGTGATCTAACTTAAAGGAATTTATCTGATGAAAATCGTACTAATTGAAGATCATACGAACATCAATAAAAACGTTAATCAAATAACTATTTGGAAATTATATTTATCGTTTAAAGTTAAATAATTAAATAATAGAAAATTGTGTTCCACGTTTAACAATAAAAATTTTTTAAAGATATTTAAATGAATTAAATTCGATTTGTTGCTATTGTCAAAACTTTATGTAAAAGTGCAACTGGAACACGGAAGAAAACTCTCTCGCCAAGACGTTGTTCCAAAACTCAAAATTGTCAGAAAAGTATGCTAAAAAAGAGAGAAACGACAGAGCTAACCAAGATTGTAAGGGTAGGTATAGGTAATAAAGATGTTGCCACCAAGATAATAAACCTTTATTACGAGTTTGATAATGGTAAAGTCGTACTTCAATTCAACAGAAGAAAAACACATTTGGCTTTTGAAGAAAACTGTTCTAATTATAAAATGATGCTTCAATGTGAATTCTGTATTTTGGAAATCAGATCGTAGATTGTATAAGTCAGAAGGTGAAAGATTCTCTTGTGTCCAGGGTTAGATGTTAATTTGTGCAATTGAATCGAATCCTACTTTAAAGTTTTTACAATTCCAGTACCAGTTTCGTACTGTCGTATAAGTACCAGTTTGAAAATTATAGTAACCTTCAGAGGCATGGGTGACAGATTAGAAGCATGCTAGGCTTCAAAATTTATTAATAACTATCCCAGAAATTAAAATGGACCAGGCAAGAATAATTAAGAGGGTGAAAATAATTTTTTAACAAGATGTTTTAAAAGTGTGTGGTACATGGATGACATCAAGATTAGATGCTGCATATGTTTAGGTATACCTATAGAAAACGAAAAGCTGGAGATATTAGTGGCAATACCATTACCACTAACCAATACCTAAATCACGGTTTAGCAGAAGGAAATCCCTCATTAAGTATCCCCTGGGAAAGAAGCATCTGATGCAAGAATAAAGAAGTGCATTAGGAAAATTAAGGCACAGTTGGAGTTAAAACTCAACAAGAGCTTTGCTGAAGATCTTCTAAAACTCATCAAGATTAGGACTGTGTTTCATTTGTTTACGGATTAGTTTTCTCAACTAGCATCAGCACAAGGTAGACAAATTGCACCTAAGTTTAGAGTGTGTGTGTGAATCTAATTAGGAACCATCGAATTATACCTTATGATACCGTCCAGAAGAAACTAGTCATTTTCAATTTCATCGCAACTGTGGTCAAGTATTTGATGACCTAAAATGGATTAACAGCTTATCGGTAGAAGAAATTCTAGACTTCTGCATTAGTTTCTGCTTATTACAAATTTTCCAGCAAACTGAAATATAGATACAATTGATTACAATTTTCATGAAAAATTCCATAATTAAAAACTCCTAATTCAGACCCCCATCAGATCAAATTCCATAAAAATTATTGCTATGACCTCCTACATAGAATTAAGTAGCATTAAAATCTTAAGTAGGAGATCAACTAAAAGATGTTAATTCATTTTCATCATCTAGGGCTTCGAAAGCAACATCTAAAGGGGTCGTCACCTACGAATCCTAAAACAGGAAGGTAGCATGCTAGCCTATAGTAAGAGGATGTAATCCAATTTCACCTATAGAAGTACGGACTCCTCAAAATATTCTTCGTAGACAAAAATTGTTTCCCTAACCGAAGAAATTATTAAATATATACCTATTCAATATATGTTTAAATTAAATTTTAATAATTAAATATTTCTTAATATTTTATTTCTAATGCTAGATTTTTATTTCCTTGTAGAAAAAGTCATAAATAATCTGCATCAATATATATATAATAATCTTGTACAGCGGCGCAAATTTTTTTCAGCGTCGGCTTCCATCGAAGCCCTGCGATATATTGAGCTTTTTAAAGGTTTCCTCAATAGATAGCAGTGTGTATATATATATATATATATTCTTTATCTGTGAAGGAGGTATAGCGAAATAAACGTTGCAAATAAAAAGGTGTAAATTTCTTGATTTATATACATGTATCCCGTCTTCCTTTTTAAAATTACTTTTTCTACAAAAACGAAAACATTTCAATTGGTTTTCTAAAATTTTCCTCCAATTTGATTTTATATCATTCCTATGATGTTTAGTAACTATATTGATTATAAATAATTATCTCTTAAATTTAACTAATTCTGTAATAATTTTTACAAATATAAATTTTTTTAAATTAATTTTTCCGCAATTTATTGATTTTGTAATTAATTTTTTTCTTACTATTAAATACTAATGTAAATAATTTTTAATTTTCGAAACCATAAAAGAAAATTGCCACGAAAATGTTCATTGAAATTTTCCTTGTTTATGCTTATAGAGTTAAAGTAGTGTTCCTTGTATCAGTTCATTATGCAAAAGGCATTATGCAAAACCGGTTTCAAGTCTTTTAATTTCTTCTTAAAATTCATTTATTTCTAGAATATAAGTAAATGCAATTTTTAAAGTTTTTTTTATTGAAAATTATCATTTTGAATAAAGATGATAATAATAGTAATAATAATAATAAAATTTCTAGTTTAAATATAAATTTTTCCATTGTTATATTTTTGTTCCTATTTTAATATAATGTAAATAATTAAATATTGAATTATTTTAATTTAAATATAATATAAGTAATTTTCATAATCATTTTTAATTTAATATAGCAAAGTGAACGTCAATGTGTGGAATATTAATATTCATTTTCAAAGTATAATAAAGTCATAAAATGCAATAGAATTTTTTTTTTTTGTAAGGAGATACCTATCTAAAAATCAATGATAATAATAATAATGATATTAAAGTAAAGCAATAAAAATGTAATTTACGTCGCTACTATTGAAGAATTTTCTTTCATCAATAATAATTAATTAAATTACGTTGCAGCTCTTTCTGTGTTTAAAAAATGTGATGTCTTTCAATAAAAAAAAAATTCTCCGGAAACAAAATACTTTTTTGATTTTTATAAGCAGCAAAAATTGTTCAAAAAAAAAGAAAAATTGAACTTTTTCTGTATATAAAATTTTTTACAATTTTGTGATTATGTTGAACGTGAATGAAAATTTATCTTTAACTTATATATATGTAGTTTTAAATGAAAACTATATTATGTAAGGTACAAGTTTTTTAATTAATTTTCTGTATCGTTACAGCTAAATGAGGCTAATGGAACCATTGGGTGTTGATCTCAACGTGATTGAACTAACAGCACTGAAAAGATGGGGAGACTTTCCAACTCAGCATCGATTTACCGACTATTCGAGTGCTTTAGGCGAATCAGCAAATTACACTTCTAGTCCATTTCCCTGTCAATCAGAACTTAATCATAAAATAGCACTATGGTACGTAAAAGGGTCCAATCATGATAGTAATAAAAAAAAAAATTTCAATTTTCTTTTTAAATTTTTCAAAAAATTTAAAATTACTTTACTCCTTTTTTTAATTTAGGACTGGCGATATATCTGTTCTACAAGTGGATGCTGTTGTCAATCCCACAAACGAAACAATGGACGACAATGCATTGACGTGCCAAAGAATATTTGCCCGTGCAGGATCTGGTCTTCAAAAAGAAATTTACAACGAAGTTAAAGGTATTTTTATTATTTAGGGAAAGAAAATATAATAAAACGTCCCAGGAAGAATAAAATAGAAAAATAAATTTCGATTATTTAAAAAAAAATAGCAATAAAAATTCATTTTCCGCAAAATAAATAAATTTAAGTTTCTCGACCAAAAATACTGCAATAGTTCAAAAAAGTCCAAACCAATATCTTTCTATCCTCAAAAAAAAAAAAAAAAATAATAATAATAAAATGAAATGTCGACTCTTGTAAAAATAAATATCTGTCACAAGGTTATAAACCGTCGTCGATATCGTGGAAAAATATTAGTCTTGTAGATAAGAAAGTTCTTTGCAGCTGATTTAGTATCTTAACGATAGTAACGAATATAAACTTTTTTGTTTGAAGTTTTTCTGAAATAAATAATTGTGGTCCGTATTGAATAGATGCTTAGCTAGGCAGGGAAATCTAGCGCGCAGTTTCTCTGCGCATGATGCTATGTTCCCTCTCCACAGTTAGCGAATAGCGAGCGAGTACTCCCACTCCGCTCGGGTCGCACAATATATATAAGGGGCTACACTGCGCTGCTTAGAACATTCTAAGACGTGGCACCATTCAGTAAGGAGCTCGCTAAATTTCTGCATTTATTATTTTTTAGACCAAAACTTAATTGCATTGAAAATTAGCATTATTAAAAAGAATTAATAACTCTTATGTTTAGAAATTGTGAACTTACTGTTTTGAAATTTACCAAACTAAAGTTTGTAGGTTCTTTCTAAATAAAAATATATACAATAACTTATTAATAAAAATCAAATAATTATCCAAGATTCCCTGAAGCGTTTTATTATTTTTTTTATTCAAAAATAATCGCGAGACATCATCAGAAAATTGAAAATTTGTTAAAATTTTCGATTGAATTCACTTTATTTATAAGTATAATGCGATTTTCATTATTAAACTAATAAATAATAAAATTTGTTCATACAAAATCAACATTTAAAAATTATATTGTCTTTTGTAAATCAGAAGCCAGGCAATTAAATTTTTTTTCATTCCATATTACTCACAAGAAGCTAAAGGAAAATAATTTTATGGCTTTCTTGTAAAACAATAATAAAAAAAAAGTAGTAAAACCACTGGTGCAATTTTTCACGTCTAGAATAAAAGCGTATACTTTTATTTCTTCCGAGTTGTTTTTTTTTCATTAACGGTAATTTTTAAAATCTCTAGGATTAACGTTTATACTCGGTTTGATTTTTCGTTTTATAACTGTCAAAAAATAAAATTTAAAATATCATAATAATCTCCAAGTATAAAATGTAATGCAACGATAATTTTTTTTTTTAATAAAAAAATTTCATAAATGATTAGGAATTAAACGAGAAATTTTTTACTGAGACAAATTTTGAATTATTTCAAAACATTTTAGATCTCTAAAAATTTGAAAAATAGTTTTGTAAATAAATATTGTACATGTTTGATTTATGCAAATTATTTATAAATTCAAAATTTTATCAAAGTTTGAAATTCAAATGGTTAAAAAAAAATTTCAGTTACATTTTAAAAATAAGATACTTTATGGGAAATGGAAGAAAATTTTATCGAACAATGTTATAATTAATTGATCTTTAGGGAAAATTGATAAAAACTATTTGCATATTATTATTATTATAATAATAATAATAATAATAATTGTTTTATAGTAATTATTATAATTATGAAAATGATCATTGTAATAATGTTTTTTCTTATTTGAAAAATTTTCTTTTTTTTTATTATTTATAAATTTTATTTTTTCTAAATTTTATTTTTACCTTTATAATTCTTCTCGTGACTCCAATATCAATATATCGCTTTTATATATGTTAATCGATGACAATAAATAGAATCAATAATTTACAGAGTGCAGAACTGGTGAAGTAAGGACAACACAGGGTCATGGTTTACCGGCTCGTTTTATCATACACACAGTGGGGCCATTATATAATACCAAATATCAAACGGCGGCTGAAAATACATTACATTGTTGTTACAGGTGAAGAAAAAAAAATTATTTATTTATAAAACCCAATTCCCTTAATGTTAATGCAAATATTATCTTATATAAAAATATTAAAAGATCATTAACTGTTTAATGAACTTCTCTGTCTATTTGAATTTGTCTACCAAAATATGTCTCGTAATTACGTTTTAATTTACAAAAATATCCAATTGAATTTTATAGAATGATATTTTTATTTAATTAATTATTTATTAATTAGTTATTAATTAATAAATATAATTATTAATCATTTTTTATTATTATTATAAAATAATTTAAATTTTATCCTCTATATTAATTTTAAAATTTAATTTTTTTTTTATAGAAATGTTCTTCAAAAAGCAAAAGAACTCGGATTACGTAGTATTGCCTTGCCTGTTATTAATTCGGTTCGACGGAATTATCCACCAAATGAAGGAGCACATATAGCCTTGAGTAAGTCAGCCTTGCATAACAAAATGAAAAACAGTTTGAATAATGAAAATGAAAGAATAATAAATACTTGAGACACATATATTTACAGACGAGTTCCAAAAAAAAAATTCTTATTTTTTATTTATTTTGCAAAAAAAAAACAGGAACAGTAAGAAGATTTTTGGAGCAGTACTGCGATTACATCAGCTGTATTGTTTTTGTGCTCGAGCCCTGTGACTTAGGAATTTATGAAGTACTTTTATCGCTCTACTTTCCACGAACTCCTGCGGAAGAGGAAAATGCATGTTGGCAATTGCCTATTGACATTGGAGGAGTGGACGGTGAACCACAATTTCCCGATCGTCAAATCAGAATTATCGACAATCCACAACATGCACTTCACACAACTGATGGTAATTTATTTGAATTTTTACAAAAAAAAAAAACAAATTTTTTCCTATTTAGAAATAAAATTTTTATCCAATTTCTAAAAAAAAAAATATTGAAAATATTTATTTCTAATTTTTTCTTTCATATCAAGTTTACGAAATTTTATCATTTTATGAAAATAATTCCGGCGCCAACCTTAATATCTATTATGTGCGTAAAGAATAGCCTAAAAGAAATATATTTTGCTGAAATAAGATAAGAAAAAAAAAATATATATATATCGTTTTTAGCAAACAGATCAATAAGTAGACTTTCATCCCCCTTAGATGAATCTATTTTTTTTCTAAAGTTACCCTATTCTTCTTATTCTTTCAGGGGGGGAAAGTAAAATCATATTTGTCTTCTTCAGAGGGATTCTCCTCTTGGATTAAATTAATTTTGTTTCTTTTTTTGTGTGTGTTTCAATATTCTTCCCCCTAGTTCAGTTATCGATTATTACCGACATTCTTTATTTTCATCTAACGATAAAATTAATAAGGAGAAATCTACTTTATCCGATGATGTTAAATAATAAAATGGTTCCATGTAGGTAAATCTACTTGGAAAATTTTATCATTTCACGTGTGGATAAAGTTGAATTCTATACTGCTACTAAATCTACCCCAGTTGGATATCAGAAATTTCCCTGGAGCGTTCATACGGCCTTCATGGCAATTGTTATAAAAGTCTTCAAATGTTTTGTGACAACTATTTGTACATTAGACCTTAAAATTGATATTTGCTTTCTGGCTTCTTAACAGAAAGATTTTTCTAACACTTGTTAAATATCTGTGCGGATAGCTTTTTGCAATATATCTAACAGTTTGCTAGCCTAATGCTCTCTAAATACCTAGTTTAATTTACAAAAAAAACGCAATTTTATTTGCTTTTCACAAATTGTTTGAGAATATGTATTATCATTACTTTTTTATACTTCCTAGAAACTAAATGTATCTATTTATATTATAAATTCTTTAAGAAATTACACAATGAAATGAAAAATTTGTAGTCATAAATCTGTATGAATTTATAACTTTGAGAAAAAAAAATTTGTTTCAATGTTTCTATACATGAAACATTAAATTATTAACCAATATTAATTGTATAATTTTACTAATAAAAATTCATTTACAATTAACTTATAATTAAAAAAATATAATATTTAACTTAAAGACAAAAATATTTAATATTACCACAGGATAGATATTAATAATAAAATGAATAAAATTTTAATGAGATAAATAAAGATGGAAAAGAAGGTTAGATATTTAACTTTTGATACACATTATGTCATTTTTCTGCTGTTTCCTGAAATATTCATGATGCTTCGTTGAGTTTTCACTATCTGAATGTTTTCTTTTAATTTATATAAAAATTAAGGTATTTTCTGACAACTCTTTCAATGCCATTTGAATGTTTTGTTTAAAACGTATTAAAAATGTGCTATTTGTACGATTTTGTCTGAAGCAAAAAAATTGAACATAACCGGCTTCCTAAAAATTTACTTCAGCTAGTTTACTACTATCTAACACTTCTCTAATATGGTTATCTTAATACTTTAAACTAACTTTTTCTTCAGCTTAAGAAAGCGCAAGATTTTCGACTGTGGTACTACTATTAAATTTAGTAATAATTTTGACAATTGATTTTTCAAAATTAAATAATAAAAAATAATTTGTTGTGTTTTCAAAAATTTTAGCAGATGAAGCCGTAGATTTGACCTCACAATTGGAAACATCAATTAGCCTTGGTGATCATGCATTTACACAAATGCAAGGTGATTTAGACCGACAAAGACTGTTAGGAGAGAGACCTCTCACGGATCCTCTAGCTGATTTGCTCAAGCAGATGCAACACAAAGAACGGTAAATTATTTCCTATTGTATATATCAAAAAATTTTAATTACTCATTATTTTAAATCTGCGCTACAAGACGTTGGGGAAAATTTTTTTTTTTTTTTTCTTAACAAATGAATTCATCAATCTCAATTTCTATAGGGTAACAACACTTTGCTGATTGCGTTGTAATATTTTTTCGTACTACATCAATCAACCTAAAAAATTGTCGAAAATATCTGTTATCTAAAATGGAGACGTATTAAAATTTCCGAAAGTTCGCATGGCAGTAATTTTATTCTACAAAAAATTTATGTAACAGAAATTTCATTTGACAAAACAATTGAGCAAAAATTTTAGGTGCCAGACTTTCTGTTGGATACAACTTTGAACAGAATTTATATCCAACTGAAATAGTAACAAAAATACAAGAAACAAAATTCCCATCTGACAGGATTTTCATTTAACAGAATATAAGTATAGCAGAACTTTCATTGGATAAAAAATCAGTTTGGCAGAAGTTTCAAATATCAGACTTGGACTGAATTGATTTGGAAAATATCAAAAAGCTTCTGAAACATTCTTTAATATTGATTATTTAAATAGATGGATGCAAGTTGCACAAAGAATTTGGATCTACTACCCCAAATATCGTACCGTGGTTTGTCTGAATTTTTAAAGAAGTTGAATGAGCTAAAAATTTTGAACGTTCAAATGAACAAAATATGTTTTTCAATCTATAAATTATTAAAAATTATAGGGTCAGTCGGGGTAAATCCGAACGCTAATTATTTCAGCTTAATTAAAATTTTAAAAAATAAGTTAGACATGAGAATTTTTACCTCAGATCCTCTTCAAGAGATTCTAAGTATTATCCCATTTTTCGTTTGTTAATTAGCAACAGCATAAACAAAGATAACGAGTATTGCAAAAAAGATTGAAAATCAAAGATGACACTCTTTCAGTATTTTGTCTCGTATTTGAAGAAAAAGAAGCTAAAAATTCATTTTATTATTTATAATTGTTTGTTGTGAATACTACAACAGAAACTATTTTTCATTTTTGCCTTCTGTAAAATTTTATTAATAATATCAGACCGTTCGTATTTACCCAGGAAAATTGGAAAACCGGGGTAAATCCGAACGGTATTTTCAATAATTTTTTCTTATATCAAAAATTGTTTTTATTTGATTACACTATTATTTTAACATTATAAAAGTACATAGAAAAAAGGTTTTTTTTTCTATACGTATCCTCGTTAGTAATTAATAAGCAGAAACTTAATCTCTGTTCTCTCGAAGGAGTGTTTCAATTTTTTTGCCAAATGGTTTGTTGAAAAAAGTTTTTCAGGATCTTAATAAAATTTGGTATTCTAGGGTTTTTGGGGTCACTGATTACCAATTTGAAGTCAGTTTTTCAAAATTCAAAATGGCGGACAAGAATTAAAAAATTCATTGGATTCGCTCGAAAATTGTTACTCGGGGGGTTTCAGGGTCACTGATTACGAATTTGGAGTTAGCAAATTTGACCATTTTTAAAAATAAGTTTTAGGAAAGTCCGCCATATTGAATTTAAAAAATTTGACTTTTATTTTTGTATTTACATTCAATCACTCCAAAATACTTTCTGTACCAAGTTTTACAAAAATCTGTTATGATTTGATAAAGTTATTGAAGGTTTTAATTGTGTAATGCATTTTAATTTTTAACCTGTTTGATTTTTGTATTTATATATGATGCATTATTACATAATAGGTTTATTAACGAATTTTTTTTGAGTTTTTATATAAGTTTAACAATTGCAATACTTTAAATTTATTTTCCCTAAGATTTTTCTGAAATACAGTGGTGTTCGTATTTACCCCGGTATTTTACGAAAGTTGCAAAGTATCGAGGTAAATACAAACGCTAAGTTTCCTGCGTTTGTAATTTATCAAAAAAATTTTGCTACCCCATAAAATTGTTCTATGGAAGTAAAGTAACAACTTCATGCACCAGAATACCGAAAGTATTGTCTTTTAAAAGAAAAAATTTATGTTATTGTTGAAACTTACTAAAAAGCGTTCGGATTTACCCCGGCTGACCCTAATGTCAATGTAAAATAAAACAGTAAATTAAACTAATATTAAATTAATAACTTCTTTTAAGATATTTAAAATAATATTTTGTAATAAAATTTGTATATTTAAAGAAGTTAGGAAAAGAATTTTGTTCATTTAAACGTTCAAAACTTTTGGCTCATGAAGTTGATGCTACCAATTTGGAAATTTTTCATTGACAATGTCAGGAAACCTTTGTCAAGACAAAAAACACGAAATTTGTAAAATAAATTTGCAATCAATTTGTCAAAGTTTCTTTGGAATCCTTTGGAATATTCACTAAAGAATTTGAAGAAGATTAATACAATACAGAATCATTTTAGTTGATTTTAGAATTACTCTTTTAATTCTAAAATTCTATAGAATTTTTCTGACTGGGAATACGGTGGAAAAATAGTTTTTGTTAAACCTTCTTTAGACACCACAAGGATGTGTTACTAAATCACTATATTATCAAACGACAAAAATTGTTTTAAAATTTTTCAGAATTTTTCCTAAATATTGATGGTAAAGTTTTCCATGGTTTTATTTGTCTCATGATTCATTGTCAAATTTTCTGCAAAAGCAGAAATTTTTCTGCTTTCACCAAACTTTCCTTGGAATTAAATTTTTCCAAGTTTGCTGCACTAACTTCTGTAAAAATTTAGACAAGACTCTGTACTGTTTAGGTATTGATTAATTTCTTCTGTAAAAGTTCAGACAAAACACTCTCCTGTTTATAGATATGGATTAATTTCTACTCTAATTTTATAGAAACCGTTTAAAAATAAAACAATGAAGGCTTTTTAATCATAATTCAAGTAAATTTAATTAAAATTGCGACTGATGTTCTTCATTGTTATTGTTCGCTTAACAGCATCCGAATATTCAAAATCTACAGATGTTCTCAGGATATCATTTGGTCCAGGTAAATTAGAATATCTCTATAGGATCTCCCTTAGATTTTCCAGGGATGTCTTAATTTACCCGGAAAAAATGATATTCCATCAAATTGTTCTCCACTTTTGGACAGGCACAAAAGTTGAAAAATCTTCCATTAACTTTTTTTCTAAGATTCCACAAACTTTTGCTAATCTCTTAATGACGTTTAATGTACTACACGCATGAACAAAAGTTTGTGGAATCTTAGAAAAAGTTAATAAAAGATTTTCCAACTTTGTGCCTATCCAAAAGTGGAGAACAAAGTTAAAAAAAATGTTATTGTACTTATATTCTTTCCGTGTACTAAAGGAATAGCAAAAACCAAAGTTTGTGGAATGTTAGAAAAAGTTAATGAAAAATTTTCGAACTTTGTGCGCCAATACAAAAGCTAAGAGCCTAAGATTCTAAAGAATTGAGACAAGAAATTTGGATTATTACTTTTATTTAGCATCTGTATTTTGTATCATCAAATACGAGCATCATTATTGCAACGTGTGATGAATAAAAAACTATAATGCAGTCGCGTGTTTTAGATAATTCATGCTACCTCCTCGTGACATACCTCAGTACAAGTCATTAGCCTATTTAAAAATCAATTTCTCATCTATATCCACATATGTATAGGCAATATTGAATGGCATAGTTTTAATTACTCTGAAAATAAAGTACCAAGCTTTCGATTGCTAGAAAGATTAAAACTATATATGCATGATTCGACAATGAAAAAATAGTATTCCAGATATTTATAGCTTTTGCAGCTGTACATTAATTTTAGGAAAATCCAATGTTTATACTCGTTGAGATGAAATAAATTTCTCTCTAATTTTCTCCGAAAGGAATAATAACAATTCCTAATAATCATGAGGTTGATATTAATAGAACAAACACTTAGCGAGAATAAGAAGCATTTTTAGATATCAGAAATTAAACAGCTACAATAATAATTTCTAATAAGAATTTTGAATGAATCATGAATTTTTTCAAAAGAATTAGGTAGGAGAAAAATTACTTCGTCATTATTAACTTTATGGATTAATATACGAAAATCAAATTTTGCGAATATAACTAAAAAAAAGAAAATTCCTAAAGTAAAAAGTAACGATCATATATATATGTCTATAAACACCTTAAGCTAACTGCGAATAATTCTTATCAATTGTGCCATAAATATATCACCAACAAATTTTAACTGCATATTGCCAGATACTTTCATTTTCTTATCTAATAACCTTTTTCATTTTCATTGAAATTGGAGCATGACCTTTGATTTCAAGTTTAATGGTCTTTCAATTTTCTATTATATAAAATGGGATCGATGTACGAAAATAGAAACTTTTTCTTTTTCACCTTCGTAAGTTCAAGTAAAGATTACATTTATTTGACGTCAACCATATGTATTTAAGAAACACACACACACACTTACGTCAAAAAAGCCAACTTGATTTGAGTCAATGACAAAAAGTTTTATGAATGTCAGTATAAAAATAACTCCACCATGAGCTTTAAATAAACTAAATGTATATTAATAATACTACCCCCCCTCTCTCTCTCTCTCTCATTTTTTTTCCTCCCTTTTCCTCTTTCTAAGAATATAGTGCTTTTCATATGACCTCAAAACCTTCTTCAACCCTTTATTGTAAATAATAGAACATTAAATCGAGATAATATTAATCGGGCAGAAATATTTTAAATATTATATTATGGAGATCTAAATAGAGGATATGTGACATATATATATACACTTTTTGACGTCATCTTTCGTAATTATCAAATATATAGGAAATTTTAAAAAATAAGAAAGACGTCGATGAAACGTTGTTTTTATCGGAAAAAAGATAAATTTAAGTTTATTTATCATTAATTTATTTATTTATAATTTTTTCTGTGATATTGCTTTCTATGAGTCATTTCATATATATATATATATATATATATATATATATATATATATATATATATATATATATATATATATATAGACAGTAAGAAATTTTTTCTAATTTTTGTAAG